AGATTTATAAACTCGGTGACAGTGTCAGAATCAGTAAAACCAAACACGTTTTCAAGAAAGGATAACTACCGAATTGGATCAAAGAGGTATTCACGATTGGTGGATGTCTCAACACGCAACCACCTGTTTACAAAATTTCAAATTACAATGCCGAAATGTTGGAAGGTACTTTCTACGAACAAGAACTTCAGAAAATAGTAAAAGACGATGCTGCATTGTACGTTGTGGAGAAAGTGCTGCGCAAGAGAAAACGTAAAGGCCACGTGGAATATTTCGTTAAGTGGCGTGGGTATGTTGATTCGTTTAATTCTTGGATTGGGGACTTGCAACATTTATAAATACCGTTCACACACACGATGACCCGATTCATTTCAAAGATCATCATGTTGGGGCAGAATTTCTTTTTGACGCTCCCTAGTAATGCCTCGCTCGATGTGTTCCCGAACAACACGTTGACAAAATACACTGTCAAACTACTGAGAACGCTTTCGTTAGATGGCGATTGGGAAGTAGCATTGGCCGACATCCACTACCCAAATTAGTGGTACAACGTCATACATGACGAAAATAGGATCTTTTACGATGCCTCACCCAATCTGAGAGATCACGGAGAACTGAAATTGAATCCGGGCTACTCTAACTCGATCAAAATGATTTTAGACGCGATTCGAGAAAAAGGTCTGCCAGATGAAATACTGATGACATATAATTCGAGGTCAAGGAGAGTGACCGTGGCCGCCGAAGAAGGAGCTCGTGTAATCTTGATGGGTGGATTGGCCAAACTGTTAGGATTTCCCTCAAATACAACAATTACAAACGAAAGACGCACTAGTCCCTACCTTCCTGACATTAGAAGTTTGTATTCCCTCTACGTGTATTGCAATATAGTCAAACACCAAATGGTCGGTGACTTTTCCATACCTCTCTTGAGAATAGTCAACATTGAAGGAACCCACGGAGATCACACTTACAACAAACCTTACTTCCTCCCGATTCGAACGTCGACATTTGAGACTGTGGAGATTGATATAAGGTCTGATACGGGGCAGAAGGTGCCATTTCAACGCGGACGAGTGATCGTGACGCTGAGTTTTCGCAAAGCTCGTCCTTCGCTAGTGTGAAGAAAAATGAACAGACATCGACCTTACACTCCTCACGTGGGGGTTTATAGAAATTACTACATGAATCAGATTGGACGAGGATCTGTATTTTCTGGCACGAGACTGCAATGTGGATATGGAATCAGAAGTATGTTTTCTGGATTGGCGAGATCGGCCGCACCTCTGTTAACACAAGGTCTGAAAGCAGTGGCAAAACCAGCGCTCGATGCCAGTTTGGGTCTTCTAGGTGACGTTGTACAAGGGAAAAACTTTAAAAAAGCGGCTTCGAGTAGAGCAAAGACTGCGGGTAGTCAAATTACTTCTTCAGTATTGAGCAATTTATTTGGAAGACCCTCTCAAACGGGGCGAGGACGCACCATCAAAAGGAAGAAGACAACAACGAGACATGTCATTTCTTCCAAGGCTAAGAAGAGGAGAAGATCTCCGGATATATTCGACTGAACATCATGGCTTTTGTACACAAATGGACGGAACTCGATCTCTTTACTATTCCTCCGACACAGACAAGTATCGAAAAAGGAAGTTACGAAGAGGTAAACCCACTCACGAATATAGCTGATGGTCCGATCGAATTTGTAATACCTTCGGCCGGAAGTGACTACATCGATATTGGTTCTACGCTTTTGCACATCAAGGCTAAAATCACGAATGCCAACGGAAGTAATTTGGCTGCAGACGCCACTGTAGGGCCTGCAAACTTGTGGTTGCATTCCCTCTTCAATCAAATCGACGTGTACCTAAATGGAAAGCAGATTTCAGATGCATCTCCTACCTACTCTTACAGAGCCATGATCGAAACGCTATTGAATTATGGAGGGGACGCTAAATCAACGCAAATTGGTGCGGCAATATTTGAGAAGAACACCACTGGAAAAATGAATGTTGCAAACCCAAGGGCCGATGATGGTGACGCTAACATAGGACTCAAACGCTCAGTAAGACGGTTGACATGATCGGACGAATACCCAGAGACATATTTTTTCAACCAAAGTATTTACTAAATGAGGTGGAAGTTAGACTGAAATTACATCGAAGTAAAAATCAGTTCTGCTTGATCAGT